GTGATTTTTTTTTTGTTATTTCAAGGTTTGCTGATATGGAATTGCACGAAGAGACTACTGGCTTGGATGGTTCATTGATGATGACAAATGAATTTTGATGAAGTTCGAGAGATGCTTTTGAGCTTTATTTATATTTTTCTTATTCATGATATGTATAAAAAAAAAAGGCAGATATTTAAATATCATATTTTTGTGATAAAATAATATTATTGAATTTTTGTTTTAATATATGTTTTAATTACTTGAAAGGGGGCATCATTTTAAAATCTCGCACAGGGCACCAAAAATTTCAGGACCGGCTCTGGCTAAAGTCCTGCACGTGAAGATAGCTGGAGCCAGCAAGTAAAGTCAGCTGCATTGGAGCTGAATGGAATTAGTTTAGGTGATTTGTTAGATAGCCAATTACACGTGTTCACATTGTATTTGTTCAAGCTTTTTAGTTAGTTAGTTTGTTAGAACTTTCCCTCTATTTATATCACATTGTATTACTTTATAAATAAATTTTTCATTAATAAGGTTAGAATACAAAGTTTTCTTCCTCTCTTCATCTCCCCTTTTATCGGTTGTAATATGGTATCAGAGCAATTATTGTCGTAGTCTTCCACAATAATCTCTTCTAATCTACCATGGCATCCACGGCAGAATTGCAAAATCAGACAAATTCTCCTTCATCAATGAATTATTCCACCATTGATGATGCATCCGATCCATATTTCATCCACCATTCTGATAGTCCAGGTTTGGTACTGGTTTCACAACCATTAACTGGTGATAACTGTCCTTAATGGAGTCGATCAATGCGCATTGCTTTGTCAGTGAAAAACAAACTCGCATTCATTGATGGATCTATTTCTCAGCCCCAAGACAATGGGGATTTGCTTAACCATTGGATCCGTAATAACAACATAGTTATTTCATAGATATTGAATTCGGTATCTAAGGAGATCTCCGCTATTATCATATACTCTGAATCAGCTCATGGTATATGGACTGATATGAAGGAGAGATTTCAGCAACGGAATGGACCTCGTATATTTCAACTGAGGCGTGATCTGATGAATCATACTCAAGGGGAGTCTTCTGTGAGTTCGTATTACACAAAGCTGAAAACAATATGGGAGGAACTTAGCAATTACAGACCAATATGCACCATTTGGAAAATGTAATTGTGGAGGATCTCAAAAGCTTGCTGATCTCTATCAAATGGAATATGTATTGTCTTTTTTGATGGGATTAAATGACTCTTTTGCTCAAGTTAGAGGTCAGTTACTACTTATGGATCAAATACCTCCAATTAACAAAGTATTCTCCCTTGTCTCCCAAGAGGAACATCAAAGAAGTGTAAGTCTGAATGTTAATGTTGCTGGAAATCATGCTGAATCTATGGCATTTTATGCCAAAAATGAACAGAGAAGGAGCAATGGACAGACATATAATAAGCCTCAAAGGAGAGAGAGACCTATGTGTACCTATTGTGGATATTCTGGCCACTCTGTAGACAAATGCTACAAACTACATGGCTATCCACCTGGATATAAAGCTAAACAGAAGTCTACTTCTGGCTTTCAATCTGGTGCACCAAATTATGTTGTGACTAATCAAGCTTCTGAAGCTATTTCAGAGCAACCACAAGGCAATGTAGGGGACTTCATGCAGTCTTTACATCAAACTCAGTATCAACGTCTAATGTACATGTTGAGCAGCCACCTTGCCTCTACAAAGGTTCAAACTGGAGCTGATGCGCATTCAAACCAAGTATCAGGTATCTGCTTTTCATTCTCTATTAATTCAGTGATTAATTTTCCTAAACATTAGATGGTGGATTCTGGTGCTACACGTCATATCTGTTTCGACCATTTAGCTTTTATTGAAATGAAATCAGTACAGAATACACATGTTATTCTGCCAAATCATTTGAGAATTCCTGTTAATTTCATTGGTACAGTGAAAGTAGCTCCTAATATGATATTGGAATATGTATTGTAGTACCACAGTTCAAGTTCAATCTGATGTCAGTGAGTTTTTTTAACTAGAAGTTCACATATTGAAGTCAAATTTCTCACTAATTTATGCTTGATTCTGGAGCCATACAGCCAGAGGATGATTGGCAAGGCTAAAAGAGTAGAAGGCTTATACATATTAACTGATAATTCAACTAATGTATCATAAATTAGTTGCAAAAATATTTTTCAGAATGCCTTCATTTCTATTTCTTCATCTCTAAATAAGGTGAATGCCTATACTTGGCATCATAGACTTGGGCACTTATAATTTTAGAAACTGGACTTACTAAAAGATCAACTACACATGTTTTATAATGAGAATAGAGAATCGAAATCAGTGTTTTATGATGTATGTCCATTAGCCAAGCAAAGGAGATTGTCTTTTACATCTTATAACCACATGTCTCTTTGATCTGATTCATTGTGATACCTGGGGACCTTACCATGTTCCCACACATTCTGGCCATAGGTACTTTCTAACGATAGTGGATTATTGTACACGTTTTACTTGGGTTTATCTTATGAAGAACAAGTCAGATGCAAAATATATCATTCCCAGGTTCTTCAAAATGGTTGAAACACAGTTCCAACTGACCATCATGTGTTTTTGATCAGGTAATGCACCTGAATTGCAGTTTGTTGAATTTTTTAATTCAAAGGGGGTTATTCATCAATTCTCTTGTGTTGAGAGGCCTGAACAAAATTCAGTTGTTGAAAGAAAGCATCAACACCTTCTCAATGTAGCTATAGCCTTGTACTGTCAATCAAAAATTTGTATTCAATTCTGGGAAGAATGCATTATGACTTTCCTCATTAATAGGACACTTTTCAATTTTACAAAATAAATCCCCTTTCCTTCTACTGTACAAATCATTAGTGGACTATGATTCACTTAGAGTATTTGGATGTTTATGCTTTGCCTCCACTATAACCTCTCACAGATCAAAGTTACATCCCAAAGCTAAGGCATGTGTCTTTATAGGTTATCCCCCAGGTATGAAAGGCTATAGACTCTATGATATCGTGTCTAAAACATTTCTCATCTCCAAGGATGTCATATTTTATGAACAAATTTTTCCTTTCCATACAATTCCTCATAAATCAGACATTGTTGATCCATTTCCTAATCATGTACTACCTCAGTCTCTTTCTGACACAGTTCATTACTCTTCACCTGGTGCATCGTCCACTGCTGTGGTAGATGTTGCTGAAAATGAGTCACAATATCGATATGAGAAGGTCTTCTAGAATCAATTATCCTCCATTATATCTTAGGGATTACCACTGTAATCTCTTAACCAATTCCACATCAGATTATGAAACTTCTCCTTATTCTATTTCAAAACACATTTCCTATAAATCATTTTCACCTGCACATAGTGATTATCTCCTTTCCATTTTTTCAACCTCTGAACCTCAGTTCTATCATGAAGCAGTGAAATATAAACAGTGGAGGAATGCTATGGAGTCTGAACTTCAGGCCATGGAAATGAATAACACTTAGTCTATTACTTCCTTACCTAAAGATAACACTCTATAGGCTGCAAATGGGTTTATAAAATCAAATATCAGTGGTTTTCCAATTTCTCAAGTGCTCTTATTCTCCATGGATTTCAGCAATCAAAATCTGATCATTCTCTGTTTACTAAAGGGACTAGCAAATTCTTTGTAGCCTTGCTCGTTTACATGGATGATATCATTATTACTGGAAGTGATCATCAATCAATCAACTCTTTGAAAACGTTCTTGCACAGCCAGTTCAAATTGAAGGATCTTTGACAGTTAAAATACTTCCTAGGATTGGAAATTGCCAGGTCACAAAAGGGCATTTTCCTATCCCAACGACAATATGCTCACCAGTTGCTTGAAGATACAGGTTTTCTGGCATGTAAATCTACCACATTACATATGGATCCCAAGGTTCATCTTAGTTCATTTGAAGGAGAACCTATTGCTGATGCATCAGTGTATAGACGACTTGTTGGCCGATTGTTATACTTAACCATTTCATCTTGAGGGGGAGTAACAGAACTTGGTCTACAGATATAACAATGGCTGAAGTCGTGCAACTGAAGATAGCTGGAACCAGCAAATGAAAGCAAGTGGAGTCAGTTGCATTGGAGCTGAATGGAATTAGTTTAGCTGATTTGTTAGATAGCCAATTACACATGTTCGCATTGTATGTGTAAAAGCTTTTTAGTTTGTTTGTTTGTTAGAACTTTCCCTCTATTTATATCACATTGTATTGCTTTGTAAATAACTTTTTCATTAATAAGATTGGAACACAAAGTTTTCTTTCTCTCTTCATCTCCTGGTTTATCAGTTGTAATACCATCGATATTAAATAATAGAAAAATACATGTTCTATAGTAGAGTTTTCCATCTAAGGTTTTTACAGGAAGTGCATCAACAGGATCAACCTCAATTGCATTTTCCTCTATTTCCTTATTTGGCTGTTTCTTTCTCAACCTTTCCTCATACAATGACTCCAAAGCATCTTCTTTTACATCCGCCACTCGTGTGACATGCCTATTATATTTTTAATCAGAACAATACTTTGACGGACCCAGTAATTAAACTAAAATAAATTTCAGTCAAATGAAGTCATACTTCCAACAAAAGCAACCTGTAAGCATAACCATCCGTGATTATTGGGCTTTCTTTGTCCTCATAGAAATAAATTAACTTATTTTTCATCCTCTTCGTATACACAATTATTTATGGTTTTTGTGGCCTATATTTTTGAAATATTAAAGAGCAAGATCTTCTCAAATAGAAAATGGTATGATGGAATTTTTGAGTTACAGGCATCCAGAAGTTTTATAGTTAACAAATATTAGAAGCGATAAATTGTAAATACATTGCTTTTATTTGTATCTGACGCATGATTGATTGTGATGGTGATTTAGTAATTGTAGTTTAATGGCAGACCAAGAATATGAAGGTTGCCCAATGGCCTCTTCCAACAAGATTCTCTGCCACCCAAAAGGAAAAATAAAAACGAACCGAATTCCAAAGCGCCCGAGCCAAGCACATCCAATCAGGGGCGAACACAGAAATTTAAAGTTAGGGAGACATAATCGAACTTGTAAAGAAGTTTGAAAAAATTTTACAATCGAAATTTTACATCCAAAAAAATCATACCCCATGTAATTTTGCGTCTGAAAATTTACATGAGATAGGACTTTTCGGATGTAAAATTTCGAAATTTTTTGATATCATATTCCATATAAAATTTCCTAATAAAATGATGAAAATTATATTGAAAATTTTGTATCGCAAAAATAATAAATGTTAATGAAATAATTGAATTTTTTTTTAAAAAAAAATGCGAGTTAGACTTCTTTCTTTAAAACTCACGTTGAACGTATTTTTAACTATTTTATCAAAATTTACTAAAAAATTTGATTTTAATCTCCACAAAATATGAGCAAAATCACAATAAATTTGAATTTCGATAACATGTAATTTTAAAAATTCTCCGACGATCATACTCTAATCGAATCTACAGCATCTGTAGCAGCAATATATTCCGCTTCAGTAAAAGATAAAGCTACAACCTTTTGTAACTGAGATTTCCAACTCACAACAGTACCACACAATGTATAAAAGTAAGAGGAAGTTAATCTCCTATTATCTTTATCACCAGCAAAGTCAGAATCTGTATACCCCCTCAAGATAACATCATTTTTACTGGACTTAAACATTAAACTTAGATTAGTCGCGCCTTTAAGATATCTAAATAACCATTTTAGAGCATTCCAATGTTCTTCTCCTGTGTTACTTATAAACCTACTCAATATACTAATTCCAAAAGCAAGATCATGTCTGGTGCAAATTATCAAAGAACCAACAGCATTTGCATAAGGTGTTTTTGACATTCTAGCATATTCCTCTTTAGAGTTAGGACAAAATTTAGAAGGCAGTTTAAAATGGTTTGACATATGCAAGGTAACAGGTTTACAATCACTCATATTAAACATTTTCAAAATATTAATCACATAATCATGCTGATTAAGAAATAACAAGTCTTTCTCTTTATTTCTCCAAATTTGTATGCCTAAAATTCTTCTAGCAGAGCCAAGGTTTTTCATGTCAAATTCAGACTTTAGCTTTAATTTGATATTATCAATTCCAGCTCTATCATAGCATGCAAGAAGCATATCATCCACATAAAGTGTCAAATAAAGAGAATGTTCACCCTCATCACCTTTAAAATACAGACATGCATCAAATTGGCTTCTTTTAAATCTAAGTTTTAACACAAAGTTATCAAATCTCTTATACCATTGTCTAGGGGCCTGTTTCAGACCATATATGGACCTTTTTAACAGATAAACAGTACAATCAAGATTTCCAATTTCAAAACCAACATGTTGTTTCATATATATAATTTCATCTAAATCACCATATAAAAAAAACATTTTTAACATCCAATTGTTCAAGTTCCCATTTAAAATGAGCAACTAAAAAAAGTAAACATCTAATAGTAGAGTATTTCACAACAGGGGAGAAGATCTCAATATAAGCTATACCTTCTTTTTGTGTAAAACATTTTGCAACAAGTCTAGCTTTGTACCCGATGGTTTTACTATCCCCTTCCCCCTGTTTTATTTTGAAAATCCACTTGCAATCAATAAGTTTCTGCCTTTCAGGCTTTTTGACAAGTTCCCAAGTTTTGTTTTNCACCTCCATCACCTTTAAAATACAGTCAGGCATCAAATTTGCTTCTTTTAAAACCAAGTTTTAACATAAAGTTATCAAATCCCTTATACCATTGTCTATGAGCCTGTTTTAAACCATATAGGGACCTTTTTAACAAGCAAACAGTATTATCCGGATTTCCAACCTCAAATCCAACAAGTTGTTTCATATAGATCATTTCATCTAAATCACCATATAGAAAAGCAATTTTAACATCCAATTGTTCAAGTTCCAATTTAAAATGAATAACTAAAGCAAGTAAGCATCTAATAGTGGAGTATTTCACAACAGGGGAGAAAATCTCAGCATAATCTATACCTTCTTTTTGTGTAAAACCTTTTGCAACAAGCCTAACTTTGTATCTAATGGTTTTACTATCCCCTTCCCCCTATTTTATTTCGTTAATCCACTTACAATCAATAAATTTCTGCCCCTTAAGCCTTTCAACAAGTTCCCATGTCTTGTTTTTCAAAAGTGAAGACATTTCATCTTTCATGACAGCAATCCAATTTTTACTTCCTTACATCTTATGGCATCATCATAGGAGTTTTGGTTCATTTTCAAAATGTTCTTGTTAGGTAAAGAATGAAACAAAATCATCACATTC